GGAATCAATGAACACTAGGTTAACGAAGAATATCTAAGGTGATTCCAATCACCGTACATAGGGAAGTTTACATAATTTTAGAACGGCATATAGATAATTTTCGGTGATTTGCACATATGTGAAAATATCACTGACAACACGAAAACACTGAAGCATAATGGATTCGTTAAGGAATAGTTTAGCAGCATATCAATTTCTTAGATGACCTATAGAATGGATGCAATTATAAGCTTCTCAGTTTGAAACACTCAGGGTTTTATTTAGACAAGATTCCTTTCTTTTATACAGATGTCAGATCTATTTGTCAATGCCTGAATATATTATCATGCATATGTACTGGGTTGCACATCTTATCTCTCATTGAAAGCAAACAAAATTACGGCTGAATAACTGCGTTCATTGCCATTCACCAAGGAAACCATTAACGAATCTCGTTAAATTGACAGTTAATTCAGATAAATCACCTCTTGACATCAAGTTTCTGGCTAAGACATTCACTTGACTTCACCATTTCTAAATATATATCCTTACTAATTTTCGCAAGAGAGTTGCATTGGCAAATAGATGCAGGTTGAAGCATATCAGCCGATGATGTGGTATATGCATTTGCATGTAGTCGAAGTTCACACTCAGATCCTCAATGATGAGCAAATGTTTACGCCAAATATGAGTAGCTCAAAAACAGATTTAAGCCACAATTTACACTGACCATTTGTTATTCTCTAACATCATTTGTAAACAAAGTCCAGCTACATTACATGAGCTGCATATATATGTTCAGTGCACGAATGTTCTAAATGTGCACCACAACGTGTAAAATACGTCATGATTCTGTAGTTCAACCGTCGAATAATCGTCTCGCTAATGCCTGGTAATGAATCCATCATGTCTGGCGAATAGAGGCGACTTGCTGATGAGAAACCGATATTTACTGCTACTTTGAAATGTCTGACCAAGCTCAAGCACATCTGAATAACAATGATTTATTGAATCAAAAATGAATCGACAAAATCATTCTGAGAATTCAGACACTCAGATTAATTATTCGGCATAAACTCACCTCTCAGACATAACACATAAACAACAAATGACTATCCCTAAGATGGTTCCATTGACTGAAAGACTAGACTACCGAGTATATCAACTGTCCATGCAGTGCATACAGAGAATGGTGGCATGGAAAACGTTTAGATCTCCCTGCAAGGTTATTCATGACAATAGATCTGAAAGGCTCACACCTTTCCTAGCTATCATTTGACGAATAATTAATGAGATATGATGCTGAGTGATTAATGATGGGTATAATTATAATGGCAAGAGAGTTTTTCGGCCAAAAAGAAGAATGAAAGCTCTTGTCTCGATGCGTGCAAAATATTTGGGATCACAAGTAATTGGGACGCTGTGGTTGTCCAGAGTAAGAAATGCTTCGAAGTTTCCTCCTAGATTTCAAGTTGTAAACGTCAATCTACGCATGTTCACTGAATGAAAGTGAGGAAGTGAAAGTCGTGCTGGATGAGCGTCCAGCATTATACAAGAGGCAGTGACTAGTTTCGATTCGATTCACTCACATATACAACCGACATTCTTATATGTATATATATATATATATGTATATATATATATATATGATAGTCATCAAGAACCCTTGAAAGAAGCAGGTTCATTTGATGATTGACACCTGGGTCGGTGAATGTCTGGGTCAATGTGTTTGAAACGAAGGTGTGCAATGTAATCAATACGCAAATTGGTGGAGCGAATATTCGAGAATTTCGCTATTGTGATAAATCAATTCACAAAACACTGATTTCACTTCGCTTGGTAATCCATGAGTTTAATTGTAAAAGGAGGTTTCATCTGGTCATCTCTCAGAGGTTTATGTCGATGTCATTCTTCGTCAGACTATGCCAATGAAGTCGCCTTTGCCATATTGACAGTGAACAGTAATTTCCGGAAAATATTTCCGATAGCCTGGAACACAGTAGTTCACAGATCCGTGCTACTGACATCAGTCGACATGTGACAGAATCGAGTGTAGTACAGGCAGTCTGTTTATTCAACTCATAGATTCCTCAAGGTTGAATTCATCGATTAGGAGTTTTATAGACATGATTTCTACCATAACCTCAGTCCTATTCAGACAGCTGCTCATATGTAGTTTGATGGTATCTACGTTGAATGCAGTCGTTTGGATGCCTAGTAATTCACTGTCTTTCTTTCAGATTTGTAAAAGTTTTGTAGAAACAGTGCATGTCATATGTTGTTTATCTTTTCAGCAAAATATTAATATAGATACACAACTTCATTGTGAGTAGTTCTATGAGAATATATTTCGCCGTCACTCACTTACACTTGGTATGTGTGTAGGCTTTACGAACGAAACATTAAATGTAGGTAATGATGAGAGATGTGATCACAACACCAGTATACACATCTAACTGTGGTAAAATATGAAGGCGTAGTGCAAATGCACTGTATCCTCATCGCAGTGTACACAGAGTTTCAGTCATAGGGGTACAGTTGTTATATCCTGAGTAGTAATAAAATGTACATGGACGAAGTTGTTGTTTTCAATGGTGAGACTATACCTTGTTTATTATGCTGCTTTTGTGATCTTCACTGAATAGCAATTTTCAAATGCATCTATTCAGGTTATTTGACCTAATACGTAGAGGGAAAATGATCGACATTTTCATATACGGACTGCGGAGACAACAAGGAGAGAATCTGAATGAGAGACAAGGAATTCCTAGGCATCCAAACAACTGCATTCAACGTAGATACCATCAAACTACACATGAGCAGCTGTCTGAATAATACTGAGCTTATGGTAGCAATCATGTCTACAAAACTCTAAATCGATGAATTCAACCTTGAGGATTCTATGAGTTGAATAAACAGACTGTCTGTCTTACACTCGGTTCTATCACATGTCGACTGATGTCAGTAGCACGGATCTGTGAACTACTGTGTTCCAGGCTATCGGAAATATTTTCCGGAAATTACTGTTCACTGTCAATATGGCAAAGGCGACTTCATTGGCATAGTCTGACGCAGAATGACATCGACATAATCCTCTGAGAGATGACCAGATGAAACCTCCTTTAACAATTAAACTCATGGATTACCAAGCGAAGTGAAATCAGTACATATATATATACGAATGTCGGTTGTATATGTGAGTGAATCGAATCGAAACTAGTCACTGCCTCTTGTATAATGCTGGACGCTCATCCAGCACGACTTTCACTTCCTCACTTTCATTCAGTGAACATGCGTAGATTGACGTTTACAACTTGAAATCTAGGAGGAAACTTCGAAGCATTTCTTACTCTGGACAACCACAGCGTCCCAATTACTTGTGATCCCAAATATTTTGCACGCATCGAGACAAGAGCTTTCATTCTTCTTTTTGGCCGAAAAACTCTCTTGCCATTATAATTATACCCATCATTAATCACTCAGCATCATATCTCATTAATTATTCGTCAAATGATAGCTAGGAAAGGTGTGAGCCTTTCAGATCTATTGTCATGAATAACCTTGCAGGGAGATCTAAACGTTTTCCATGCCACCATTCTCTGTATGCACTGCATGGACAGTTGATATACTCGGTAGTCTAGTCTTTCAGTCAATGGAACCATCTTAGGGATAGTCATTTGTTGTTTATGTGTTATGTCTGAGAGGTGAGTTTATGCCGAATAATTAATCTGAGTGTCTGAATTCTCAGAATGATTTTGTCGATTCATTTTTGATTCAATAAATCATTGTTATTCAGATGTGCTTGAGCTTGGTCAGACATTTCAAAGTAGCAGTAAATATCGGTTTCTCATCAGCAAGTCGCCTCTATTCGCCAGACATGATGGATTCATTACCAGGCATTAGCGAGACGATTATTCGACGGTTGAACTACAGAATCATGACGTATTTTACACGTTGTGGTGCACATTTAGAACATTCGTGCACTGAACATATATATGCAGCTCATGTAATGTAGCTGGACTTTGTTTACAAATGATGTTAGAGAATAACAAATGGTCAGTGTAAATTGTGGCTTAAATCTGTTTTTGAGCTACTCATATTTGGCGTAAACATTTGCTCATCATTGAGGATCTGAGTGTGAACTTCGACTACATGCAAATGCATATACCACATCATCGGCTGATATGCTTCAACCTGCATCTATTTGCCAATGTAACTCTCTTGCGAAAATTAGTAAGGATATATATTTAGAAATGGTGAAGTCAAGTGAATGTCTTAGCCAGAAACTTGATGTCAAGAGGTGATTTATCTGAATTAACTGTCAATTTAACGAGATTCGTTAATGGTTTCCTTGGTGAATGGCAATGAACGCAGTTATTCAGCCGTAATTTTGTTTGCTTTCAATGAGAGATAAGATGTGCAACCCAGTACATATGCATGATAATATATTCAGGCATTGACAAATAGATCTGACATCTGTATAAAAGAAAGGAATCTTGTCTAAATAAAACCCTGAGTGTTTCAAACTGAGAAGCTTATAATTGCATCCATTCTATAGGTCATCTAAGAAATTGATATGCTGCTAAACTATTCCTTAACGAATCCATTATGCTTCAGTGTTTTCGTGTTGTCAGTGATATTTTCACATATGTGCAAATCACCGAAAATTATCTATATGCCGTTCTAAAATTATGTAAACTTCCCTATGTACGGTGATTGGAATCACCTTAGATATTCTTCGTTAACCTAGTGTTCATTGATTCCGGTGACCTTGTAAATATTAAAGAAAACACAAACAGATATATGATTATAATTGTAATTATTATCACGCCACATTCTTTCAAAAAGAAATGAGGTGATATTTTAAATTATTTTTAGAAATCTTTACACGTGGCAGATGTAAATTTAATGAGCGATTGAACTATATAAAGGCTTGTTTTTATTTACTCACACGTTCTCTGCGAAAATGATGTTAATGATAACGATGAAGAAGTTCTTTTTACTGTTGCTGATTATTCAAGCGTTTGGAGTGTTCATCAAGCCGACCGAAGCATGTAAGTTTGCCTTGATGTGGTTATTATTGTTTCAAGTAGATTTTGACAAATTCAAAGTGGTTTTTTTCTCTTTGGTGTATCACATCTTAAATTATTTATCACTTCGCTAAAACCACAATGATATCAAATTTAATTTGATTTAGATAGGTTACATTGAGCTGTGTTATTTGCGTTTACACATATGTGTTTCTGTTTTATTCTATGAAATTGGTTGATTATGACAAGAGCAGACATTGTAGACACTGAGAATAACTAAATGGAAACAATTCAAGACAAAATTATAATATTCCACTGAATAATCCAAAATTCACGAACATATTTATATACAGATATGCATTGATTAAAGATTGATTAAATAATTTTCCCATTAGCCAATATATTCTCCACTAAATACTGTAATATTTAAATAAGCATAACCACTAAAATACAACTGAAACCGTCAAATCATTGCTTGGACACTAATCTTACACTGTGATTAGGTGAAGGTGTTAATCTTGAGTGCACATTTAACACTGTTCACGCTAGTGTGATTTTATATTTCGTTTAGTATGAAATAAAGAAGAACAATTCTACACATTTCTATGATAATGTTAAAAACATTCTAATGCAAATTTGTAGTGACTTTCATTTCAGCAAATTATTTACGGCTGAAAACATTTCGCCTTAGAAATATAACTGGTTTGCTAATGACAGTGGGTAGATTTATGGACACTACGGACTTTATTAGTCTTAACACTTAGTCAAATCAAACGCTAAACTACAGACGTCCAGCTGAGGAATACCAGTGCAACAGTAAACTAAAGACTACCACACTGTATGGGTTGAATGACCAAAACACTTTTAGTAAAAAGCATCATGACTGAAATCAGATATCATTCTCCACTTCTGAACAACAGATATTAGAGAATATCACACCTGTTTTCATCCGCCCCTCTCGAATAGCATGCAACTGTAAATTTACGTATTTGAATGAACAGTATGAAATGTATTACCAGGTGTTCAACCCACCACATACATGAAATGTGCACAAACCCCACATAAAGCCGTGCAAATAGTCAAATTTAGCGGAAATATTAGTCATATGAATAACCGAACTGTCATCAATAAATTGAAAATCTTAACTTATGTTTGTTACTATGAGAACAGAATTCAACATAGAATAAAATAGAAACATTGTTGCAATTATTTGAGGGATGAAATTCCACAGCATTTTGAAAATCTCTAATGCACATAAATGCCATGTGACATATTATCCAGTTGATTAACTCAAACATTTTTGAAGAGAAAATGGCTGTCTCACGAGAGATTAAATACTCACCCGAGGCAAAACGATGAAACAAATGAAACTGTTGGGTGAACAAATACAGTATTAACTCATATTTATTAAAAATGCAATGAGGAGCATTTGAAAAGGAACGACAAGAAAAAGGCACTCCACCGAATGCAAATAAAAAATTTGTGAATTCGAAAATCATTTACGCAAAGTATATTACCAATAAAGAAAACCGGAGAATGTGTCACTAATTAGAATAAAGTCATTACAAAGGACGCAAAAGTCATTAGAAAATCATGCTAGTGAAGAAAGATGCAACCATCATATAGACAAATAGAATAACACAGGTTTGTGGATGGAATCTTTCAATACGCTCTTCGTGAATGAAATTCGATAAATGTACAGAACCGATCTGCATAGGCACAACATATCATGAAAACGTTGTGCAATGAAACAAACTGGTATTGTGAAAAAGAGACATTCACAGTATGCATATGACTTCGTAGAAATGTGGGAATTCGAAAATAAATTGATAACTTGTTATTGATCAAACAATTTCATGAATATAATAAAAGTAATAATGTTAAATCAAATTTCATTAAAAAGCTGGATATACCAAAAGAAGAACGGATGGTATGTCTAATATTACATGCATTCACATAAGATATAAAAATGAGACACATGAGGAAAAAATCACACAAAAAAAGCACCGTGAAATGTTAATATTATAGGGCCTAAAAATGGTGTGTGATCCTGGATCCAAATAATTTATTTTCACACCAATCACAAATAGATGCAATCATCACAAAGACTCTGAGTATTGTACTGGTTTCTCAACAGACTGTTTCATTTCATCATTCGTAAATGGAATTCAATGCTTGTACAGAACCGATCTGCATAGGCACAACATATCATGAAAACGTTGTGCAATGACACAAACTAGTATTGTGAAGAAGTGATATTCGCTATATGGTTATGTCCTCACATAGAGAGAATGAACAGGCAAGTGATTCGTTATGTAGCCAATATATTTACATGGCACAGTGGTTAGGACTCTCGCCGACCATGCACATGGTCCGGGGTTCGATCCCCTGCCGGCGCACACCCGATATCTTTGGTCGGCCTGAATTTGAGCTACCGGTACCCATGCTGAAAATTCCACACTTGTACTAAAAATACGGTGTGGAATCAAGCTGTAAATCAAAATTAAAATACGCAGTTGTTTAATTGAAATTTCCTTCAAATATCTTCCATAATATTTTGAATGAAATTACAGAGCCAAAGACGCGTAAGTAGTAGTGTTGAAAACAATTTGTTTACTATAAATTTACACAGTAAAAGTTGGTAAAATATAAATATCAGTGTAATCAGGACTTGACACTTCAGGGAATGACACACGATGTGTGATCCTGGATCCAAATAATTTATTTTCAACTAAGTTATTGTGGATCACAACCGAGAAACTGCTGGTGAAAGTAAACAAGTATCACCATGCAATTACAAATACACAGCTGATAAAATGGAAATATCCAGGATGAACTTTTGTGCACATTTTTCAACATATACATATATAATTTCATCATAGTGAAAATAAGTCAATATGTGCTTTCATCTCAATCAATGTAGTATCAAAGTCCCTTCTCTCAAAATCTGTTGACTTAATATACATATATATATATATATATACATTACAATATTACGAAGAGTCAAGATACACTCAAGAGAAAAGTTTTTAACCCACGTGACATTGATAAATTGATGAATTCTGACATGAATAAATGGAAACAGTCAATAAAATTAACTCGGCAGATGCAGCAGAAATAGGTATCAGAGTGGGAACTTTAAACATGTTGAAAATGAGGATACACATAAGGTGTGAAATAACATTCGGCATATGCTGAGTAAATTCAAACTGTGCGTAGGTAGGTAGGCGTAACTCTCTGTGCCGATAACGGAACACCTGATCTCTCAGTAGACTGTAATGCAGGCTTTTTGTGGAAGTCAGTTCGGTGGGGACCAGAATTCAAATGAACCAACCACACAATGTGAGCAGAAACCAGTGTTGCACTGCACAGTCAGCATACTCTCAGACATGTGTTTAATCACTGCTGTATTTTCGTTATCTTCTCAAATTCGGATATCACGTATTTCATGGTTTTCTTCCTGGTTTATTCTTCCTTTGTATTCTGTTTTACTGCATGTTGATATTAGCTTACTTTTTTTGAGTGCAGTCTTTTGATATCCTTTTTATGCTGGTGACATTTTGCTTGTGCATTAGTCATTTAATCCATTCAATTTCTTTCAGCTTTTTGATTTATTTCTGTCATACAACGTTTATATTGTGTTTATTGATGACCCAATACATCCTTCACTTGTTGCCTCACACTAGTTATTGCACTTTTATAGCATCAGTGGCAAATTCAGTAAAATGGCATGGACCGGTGTGATTTTAGCTTGTTATCTGCTACAACAAATGTTATTTTCATGAGTATTATTCAACAAGCATATCTTCTTTCAATTGCAGGAGGCGCATAGGAGTTGCTTCAATTCATCTTGGCGTTGTGACACAAAAAATGACAATGTCAGATGGAAAGTATACTCATTACGCAACAAATTATTAAAAACGTTTCAAATTTCACTTAAACCATGTAGTTGTAGTTTCTGTAATCTCAAAAGTTTTTCAAAAGTTTACGAATAAATAACAATATTTCACAATCCATCTTTATTTTTTCATTTTTGTGTATTTGTCTTTCTATGACTAAAAGGGATCTGCTGATACACATTTTCAGTGTGTCGAACTTCTAAATGAGATTCCTTGTGTTGGCGTGATGATTGTGATGCAGTTTCCCTACTAGACTAAAGAATTATGAATCCGAATAGCGGAGATCTCTTTGCATACGCAGATAACTTGCCTCATGTTGCTGACGGCAAGTTTCGGTAATTTATTTGAAACAGAAACCGATCTTGTGTTCAAATTTGCACGGACTTTACTGACTCGCTTCGGTCAACGTTAACGGGAAATTATCAATCGGAAAGAGATTAGCTTGTTACTTGAAATTATCTTCTAAGCAGCAAAATTCATAAGCGAACAGAAGAAAGACACTGGAGATTTTCACTCGAATCGTCGAAAGTCTCCACGATCATATCACTAATGACGCCAGAATGGTTCTCATCTTGTTGTACAAAGAAAACTGTTTGAAATGTGGTTGAGTACAACAATGCTACTTAGGAAAAAATATTGATTTGCATCATTCATTCGCGGACTAATCCATTATCCCTTTTAAAAGGCACGATCCAGTGAAACGAGCAAGCTTCAATGACATAGAAAATCAACTATGTTCAGTTACTTGTATTTCTGTGAACTACCATTCACACGAGAATTTCTTTACTGCACGTCACCTTCTACTATCGTCAGGAAATCGATTTAGAGGGAGGAAACGAGTTTTCAGCCCCAAACTTTGTTTGTTATCCATACAGTGTTATTATTGTCACATCTTTCAACTGTTCATTATTATTAATGATAATATTATGACCAAATGCACAATTTTAGCTGTCACTCAATAAATCTGTTCCCATTCAATTACAACTGGATTTCAAAACACGTATCATGCCGTTGCTCACACACTGATTATAGCTCAGCGCATTCATTGTGGTCGTTCAGAATTATACTTTCAATCTAAAATAGTCCCAAATTATGCGTCCATATAATTTTATTTCATTTGACTCTTCATTCAATTCACTGGAAGAACGAAGTTCACGGCTTACATGCAACGGAGTTGAGAAGACAAACCATTGAAATGCACCTCATTTCATCTTTCCATCCGCCTACATGTATTTGTACACACATATTTATCTGCTAAGTTTTATACTTATTTAATAAGTGCAGTGAATGATAATCTTCTCCAAAACCTCTGCGTAGTGTTAACAGTTTACCGAGGTGTATGGCAATTCACTTTGTCAGTACAATGTACTCTGTACGTGGAAACTGTCTCATTCACTATGCTGGATTGTAGCAGTTAACTACTAATTTGCTGCACAAATATACTATAATATTGAAAAGTGTTAATTTTTTCCTCATTCACTTTGTATAATACAAATCAGGATGATAGAGTGACTGAGCAGTGATGAGAGTATACTCTTGATTAATTAGTTGACTGGAGGACTGATCTCTTATGAATTTATGAGCGCAAAGTAATAATTAACTGAATCGTTGAGTGTTGTTTGGTTTACTTCTTCTCTGACCGCTGTTATCTCATGATATTCTCTGCAATCATCGCCAATAAGGCGAATTCAAAATTGTATTTTAAACAAGCTATGAAGATTGTCTACGCTGTAGTCAATTATTGTATCGAATTTCGATAGAATTCCTCAGCTGAATAGTCTACATTCAGTGTTATAAATACTGTCAGAAAGACATTGAGAGATATAAGTTCAATAAGTCAATAAGCAAATAAGTTACATTGAATTATTTATGCATAACGACACGTGTGAACGTTTTTCAGGTCGTGTTCAAATATATAGGGGGAAGGGAGAATGAGAGTTCACCGTCATTTCATTTTATTTAATATCATGTCTTCAGGGCAATGTCACTACTCCACTTAGATAGAAATATTTGTAAACCTTAATTTCATTACAGATGCATCGTCAATTATCTTCATACAGGTATTTTTTACAGGAGAGAAATCCATATCCGTCAATGTAGAGTTGTGACGGGCTGCAGATCAACTGTGGTGATTCTGATGCTGCGTATGTAGGCGAATCTTCCAGGCAAGTAAATTCTAAAGTAGAAGAGCATAATCAGTGCCTACTGACAGTTCTATAGACCTCTGCAGATTTCAACAGACTGAGAAATATATCAGTTATCGCTTCGCACTCGATACAAACGGGACACATGATTGACTTTGACAGGATCAAGTTTGAACAGAAAGCTTTTGGTTCATACAAAGAAAGGTTGACGGTGGAAGCCCTACGTAAAAGAGGAAATCCTCATGTGTGACGGTATGATATCAACTAATGCTCGGCAAGTATTGACTAATAAATAAGACGAATATGTATTCCTTCTTTCTCATGTTTAGGTTATTTCCCTGTATTCTAGATATCTTCTTATGATATCTAATTGATCTCCCAAGCACACGCTTTTGTATATCGTGTATATATTGTTACAACCAAATTTATTCTGCTATGGACTGAACGCAAGAATACAATCTCTACTTTCTACTTTATGGCCAACTTCCCTCTGCTGAGACACGCGATACCACGAAACGCTCCAAAATCGGGGAAAACAAGAATGACTTCAATATTTTGGTGGTTCTATTCAACAATAATAACACCAAACTGAATTCGAACTAAGCAGTGCCGCGAGATAGCTGTACAGACAATTTCGGTTTCTAGATACAAATAGGTACTGTAAAACGAAATCAGTTTGCCAAAGTTCAGCTGTAATAGGTACCTTAGAATCAAGAAGAATATTTGTAAAAATTATTTGCAAAATTAATCTCCACCTTGGTTCCTAAATTTATCGCAGATTTCAAAGATGGAAATTGCTCTATTAGTCTTACTAGCATCTGTTATCTGTTCCTTAGTATTAATAAGATTTACTTCTTTTGTCATAATACCCACTTACTGTGTAAGTTAAACTTCCCCTGCAGCTCCCAATGTTTTTCGGAATCAACTTCTCACCAAAGCAAAATTTGGTTTTCCCTAAAGAGTAGAGATTCACCGTTTTTGTTTTGTTGTCTTGTAGAATCAACTTCATCAGTGCTTGTAAACGGTTCATGATACATGTAAATGGAAAAAAATTCTACTTCATTTTGATAATATTGAAATGACCCAGAAATATTTCAGAGATCACAAAGGGTGTCTCACACCATGGCCAATATAATCAAAGTGGAATCTAAACTGTTCAAATAAGAATGATTGATCACTACAGAATTTGACCAGGTCCCAGCAGTCCTAATCAAGAAATGACAAAATTAGCGCGGATGTGATAGGCACTTTCATCATACAGATACATGCTGTTTTCATAATTCATCCGATTATCGAATCTGAAAGTCTGAAATTTGTTCGCTGTCATTACCGAACAATCCACTTGACACTTTAAAAAATACTCTATTTTCAAGGAACTGTTATCACATTACTGCGTATAAGCTGAGACTTTGTAAACTCTGGTTGAATTTAAGGTTGATATTAATTAGGTGAATTTGATTAATTTTGTCTTACTTGTTCAAGTATATTTCAAAAAATAATTTTGAATCTTATTAACATCTGAATTTTACCTACAATTAATTGGAAGATTATTTTTTGAATTTCAGAAACTTGTTTTGTGTGAATATATTTTGAACATGGTTTAAAAAGGAAAGTTGGGATAAATGTCTTAAGGCTTCTTTGGAAGAGGGGAGGGTCACATTCAGTGTTTTACAAATCGGTTATAAAATGGTGTTCATTAATAAGCATACATTTAAAAAAAATTATTTTGTTCCTTTACGTTCCCAGTGAAAGATAGGGCTTCAAGCTAGAGACTTCAAGTTTCTGTAGGAGTGGTGTCTATTTTTACGGGATGGGGTTGCTAGTCTCATGCTCAACCTTCCCTGTTTTTCACTCTAATTACTGGCTTAGCGAAGTAAAGGAGTGCGTCGGTCGGGAATCGAACCCCGATCCACACGCATGGCTAGTGAGCATACTAACGCTAAGACACCAACGCACCTAATTAGCATGCATTAATAGTTATTTATTAACCATTTTACTAGGCGAATCCTTTGGTACACTATAAAATTATGGTACTTGGTTTAACAGTAATTCGAATTTTCCCAGTATTCACTCGGTCAATGCAACCAATTCGCTAAAGATCCGATATATCAATAATTAAGAACACATAAGTCCGTAAAGTGATCTGTTTTCGTAACTTCACTTCATATCTGTACATGAAGGCTGAATCGTTTCACTATATCTCTACACGGAAGGTAAGAGTTGGATCCTGATTTCCGTAGGCTTTATAAAACGTCAAATTATTCATCACAGACCAGCATTGTGTTACTAGTCAAATGATCTTTCTGGTTAGGTTGAGTAATCATTGTCATATCAGACTAAACAAATAACTCTCAAATTTTACAGGAGTTTCATCATGAGCTGACATTAGTTAGAGAACCACTGGAAAAGCTCGGAGTACTGGACAGCTGTTTCTTCCCAGTTTTGGACTCTTCAACGGTACGCATCCACTGGGATTCGGACCCAGGACCTTCTGGTTACAAGGCGAGCTCTTTTACCATTAAGCCACTGGGACCCGATCCAATGGTCCATGAATTCTAACTTCTGCCAATTCACGACATAACGCGACCCCTAACCAATGTCTTCGGCGAGATCTCGTGACCAGTAGGGTGCAGCAGGTCGGGTGTGAGGACAAATACTCGCCGAAGACATTGGCTAGCGGTCGCACTATGTCGTGAATTGGCAGAAGTTAGAATTCATGGGCCATTGGATCGGGTCCCAGTGGCTTAATGGTAAACGAGCTCGCCTTGTAACCAGAAGGTCCTGGGTCCGAATCCCAGTGGATGCGTACTGTTGAAGAGTCCCAAACTGGGAAGAAATAGCTGTCCAGTACTCTGAGCTTTTCCAATGGTACTCTAACTAATGTCAGCTCATGATGAAAATCCTGTAACCAATCAAATACCTACAAACCAACCCTTGAATCGCAAATTTTAATTATGTTCCTAAACCGAGTTCTAAGATAGCCCAACAGTTCTCAGTTGATTGAGAACATTACATTCTGCAGCAAATCTTCTGCAGTGAATTCAATTAAAAGTTCTCCTACGAGGAAAGTCATTTTCGCAAATTTTCTGAGGATGGGAAATGTGAGCACAAATTTCAACGAATCAGATTTCTGTTGAGAACTTCATCTTCCCAGAATCCAAATTTATTCCCGTAATGATTCTTTACTTTTCCCTTTGTATTACAAACACATTGCGCTTCGATGTCAAGCGGCGTCAATGATCACTACCTCCATATTTACTACAAGCTAATCACTAATGCTGCTCCTCATGAGCGTCCAAAGATTCACATTCTATCTTTGTGATTAATTAACTAACTTAAATAACGCAGTGAGGTGCGTGAAACATCCACATTATCTGATCAGGAGAAATGCAACATGTGTGTTGCTCATGTATGGTAATTTACATTTGATCATCTTAAAGTGGTTTGGATGCAATCAAATACACCACAAATCGAAATAAATTGCTATCTCTTTGCAGATATTTTAATTTACACGCTACAACTAGTCAACTTCCGCACATTCAGATATTGAGTGAAGATTGAACATCGGGTTTTGTGGTTTCATTTATCCAGTCAGAACTAAATCAAGACCTTTCTCAGATAAAATTGTAGTTTCCTGCTATTTTCCTATCAAGGATAAGCGTAATTTTATATTTCAAAATAATCATTACCACTCTTAATTCTTACAGTCACTGCTGTATTTCTCACTGGAGTCTGAGAAAATACCGGTCACCTGAGACCAAGTTGAGAAGTTGTGTAGATCTTCAGTTTTATGTTTTCATTAACTGCGGAATGACAGGAATATATCTCAAAAATATGTTCCGTTAGGCGTGGTAACAAGAATACGAATTGAACAACAACTTGAGACGAAATGCGTAGTGAGAAACATGAGTGCACTATATAAGGGTATCTGATTCATTTCACATATTGAAACACTAGCCATAACATTCGTATCGCATTTACCCGCTATTTGAAATATATCTGTTAAATACTGAATGAGGGTGAAGATGACTTTTTCTCAAACACTATTTCACTGTTCGCTAACGAGTATTTGGCCTTACCCTGCGAATATCAAACATATTCTCCATTTTCACTATAATGCATAGTCTTTTTAGTCTTGAAGTGACTCTCCATATTTTCTTAGTATCGAAGCAATTCATATTTTCATCAGGTATGCTGATCTTTATGTCGACACTCTATTTGCAACTAAGGCAAATAAAAGCAATACATTTTTCGAAAACCTAATATTTTTCAGTTCCTTCTAATCTGCCTTGTTAAATGTTACTTTTTCATCCATTGCAGTTACAGCATTCAGTGTAAAACAATCTACCCACATATTAAGGTGTAATAGCAGCTCCGGGTTTATGAAGCTATGTTATGCCCAACTAAGTGAGCGAACAATTCTTAGGTTTAAAACGAACTAAATGAAAGTTATTCAACAAGATGGGCAAAATTCAGATATGGTAAACTGAATTCGCAATCTATGGACCAATTCAACCTGAATTGAACAGGTTGGAATTCAAGGGTTTCTGAATTTCAGCACAACTGGCTGAATCGTCAGCTAGCTTGGCCTCGTAACCTGAAGGTTCAGGATTTGATCCCTTGGGTCATATTTGCTCAAAAGTCGCAAACTAGGACGTAACAGTTATCCAGGGCTCCTTGGTCTCCAGTAACCTGTATCTCATGTCATACGTGACGAAACCTACATTTAAATGTATTAGAAATCAACATGGTATACATTTGAGGAGGGTGAGTTAAATATAATGATATGGGGGGAATATGAATAGGAAACAATTAGTCGCCTTTTTGAATTTCAGCGAAATGTTGCGAAGACGAAATTTTCCTGATTTTTTTAATGTACTTGCATAACATATTTCGAAGTCATTGAAAATCTACATTGCTTCAAACACAAGATAAGGCGTTTAGCGAAGAGTGAGC